GTGAGTGTGACAGTGGGCGCATGACTGTCAGCGTACAAGAGTCCATGTAGTCATGGTGACCGATGAAACCGGTCGTTATAGTAAATGGCACATTGTGAAACAGGTAGCGAGGTGTCCCCTGGATTCCGTCTGTAAACTCGCCCTAACTGCAGCTCAGTCTTCAGCTCCTCGTTACCCAGGCTTCTGTTTGCTCAGTCTCAGATACACAAAAAACAACTCTGGATCAGGCAGAGTCGGATAGAAAGAGGAGATACGTGGCAGCAGAAAACTGCAGTAAGAACAGAAGATGTGATTCAGATTTCCGAAAGCACAGCCTTAGAAGCCCTGCCTTTCCCATGATTGGTATGTTAAAAGGCCGAGTGTTTTTCACCACTTTTTATTTTCATTTCGCTCTCAAAATAATGATCCTGTTGATTTGTTTGCAGGGAAATTTAAAGGTAAAAATATGATGCACCAGAAATGGAACAACAAACATCTCAGAAACACAGTTTGGAATCGCAAACATGGGGAGGAGCGAGCCGGGGTTTCGGAGACCCCCGGGGTCACGGCCATGCGTCAGGGCGCAGAGCGAGGCGTGAAAGACGTCGCTTTGGCCAGGGAATCCCCTCACAGGGATGGTGGGGCAGCCATTGCTGGAAGAGTAGAGAGTAACGATGTGGCATGCCAGCTGACCAACCGAGCATCTACAGTACTTGTACTTCTTATAATGTTCCTTTACTGTTGAATCTACCTTCATTTAATCTTCATTAAGTCATCGCCTTGTGTTTATCAGTCAAGACTAACACCTAAATATGAAAAAATAACAAACAGAGCTATGAGGTGGTGTGCCTAGTGAACTCTATGGGGCAAGACATCCAGCCTTTTTAACCACAGCACCACCAATAGAGGGCAGTATTTCAGCACCTCTATATTCACACTGTTACAGGATTAATTCTCCTAAACGGTCTTCCATGAACAAATACATGTTTTCATTCACTGTCAAATAGGTGATATCACCGTGAAAACTTATGAATTTCAGAGATCAAGTCACAACTTCATAATGACTGTGGAGTCGGCCGATAGTGTAGAAAGCATATAGCATTTAGCCCACGCTTCTTAATTGGGGGGGGGGCTTTAAAGTTAATTAATCAAGCAAGAGACTAAAAACATGAAATTACAATAGAATTATAAAGTGTAGAAATGTATCCTGAGCACTGCTTAAAATGAAAATGCTGCAGAGAAAAATGTAACTGAGCCCAACAGGGCGGATGGAACAGAGAGGGAAAAGGTGGGAAATGAGTCGCACTTTGACGGAAGCAGCCGCGGTGTGTGTGTGTGTGTGTGTGTGCTCCTCTCGCGTGCGGCACTCAGGCTTTCAAAAGCAGGCAGTCAGACGAAAGGCTGCGTGTGAATGTGTGTAGGCATCATGAAAAGGGCAAGCAGCATGGAAGGTGTAGGTAGGAGCAACACACAGTGATGTATATCAACACGCAGTGAGCCTGTACTGAATACACAGTGTAGAAGGTGGATGGATGGATGGATGCATGTAGATCAACACACAGTGAGCCTGTACTGAATACATGGTGTAGAAGGTGGATGGATGGATGGATGGATGTATATCAACACGCAGTGAGCCTGTACTGAATACACAGCGTTGTGGATGGATGGATGGATGGATGTAGATCAGCATCAGAAGCCGTGGTGCTGCATCAAATGCAGGCCTCTAAATGCTTTTAATTCCAGAACAACAGGCCTGTACCACATCAGGATGGATGTGGTCCAGGCAGGTCATATGGGACCTTCTGTGAGAGGGTTAAGCATATAGCTGGGACTTCACAAGGAAGTGCTGTTAAGGCGTAAAAATATGAATAAAATACAGTTTTTGGCAAGGAAGGTAGAGTAACAACCACACACGGGCACACACACACAAACACACACGAACGTGCACACACATGTGCGCACATGTAGGGTAAACATATCCTTATGGGGACCGCTCATTCATTTCAATGGGAAAAATGCTAATGCTAACTATGACAACCTTGTCCCCTACCCTGCCCTAACCATAACCATAAGTAACCTAACAAAATACAAGAGTTTTTAGTTTTTTCATAGCAGTCACCGATTTTTATAAAATAGAGTTTTCCCTTATGGGGACCAGGAAACCAGTCCCCATAAGGGAAAAAAACAGATATTTATCACGTTAGGGTGACATTATGTCCCCATAAGGATAGGTAAACCCGCTTGCACAAACATACACACACACACATATACACACACTTTATTAAGCACCCCTACATAGTACCAGGCTGGATTCCCTCTTGTTGCCAGAATCACTTCAGTAGTTGGTGAGCTGTATGTTCAGAGATGCCTTTCTGCACACCACTGTTACACTGAGCACTTCCCATTATCTTTAATGAGTCTGGCCATTCTGCTCTGACCTCTCTCATTAGCAGAACTGCTGCTGACTGGATGTTTGTCTGTTTATCGCATCATACTCTGTAAAATGTAGAAATTGCAGTACAAACAGGATAGAGGTGAAAATCCCAGGAGTGTGGCTGAATCTGCCAGATACGACACTAACAAAAACTGCATATTTGAAGTCATATTGATCTTTGCTGTTCGCCATTGCTATTATACTGCCAAGTCAAGCACTAAGTGTACTTTTTGTTTACCCTGACTGCTGTTTGTATTCATGTATCCAGCCAGTCAGCTGTTCAAACCCAGGTGTGAGGACTCTTCAGCCAATCAGTCCTCTGATTAGTAATCTAATTAGGGAGCTGCAGCGAAAACCTGCATACACAGCGGCCCTTTGCGGATAAGACTGGCCACCCCTGCTTTAGGGAGCAGGTGTGACAAAAAGTGGCTACTAGGTGTAAGATGTCCAATTGTTTGGTATCAAGTTTCACAAAATCACAGAAGCCAAAAGGATGAACTGCCAGGGAGAAAACCACTGATGGCGGACTGCAGGACCTGCACCAAGGCGCAACAGGAGACTTGAGGGCCCAATGTCATAAACAGACAAAAATAAGTCTGTTGGTGGACATAGTTAAGTGAGTCGGTTTGATGTTGTTAAAATTAAATTAGCTTATTTTTTTGTCTTGATGTTTTAGTGTTGTCTTTTTGTTTTACATTAACGTTTTTGCGTTGCGTTAACGTTTTTGCATTGCGGGGCTCTGGGCTCTCAGGGTCCCTGTACAAAAGTACCACTGTGATGATTATTCACACATTTTCGAAGGTTAAACCACATAACAAAGTTTAGAGCAAAACAACATTTCAGCATAAACCACTTGTTCCTGTAAAAGGCCTGGGCTGTATACAGTCACATGTCAACTCGTTGCACTTGGACCCGCCCCCAGAAGAAACATTGACCAATCATCAGATGAGTCACAACAGTGTGGATTTTTGTAGGTTTAACTGTGATGCAAAGTGACCTGACAGAACGAACTAAATGAGAAGGTTACTCTGTGCAAGTACTCAGTGTTTATGACAAAGACAACAGAGAGGAGCATCAAGTAAGATGCAGTCATTAAGATATGCATGTACAGTTGACCCTGGACTTTCCCCATCACGGTTTTGAAATATCATGGGGTTGCAATAAGAAATTAAATGGGAATTTTTTGAAGTTTCGTGAAAGCCATAGACATCACATAAAGGCCAGCAGACGAAACACAAAAAGTTCAGTGACTAAAATGCATGAAATATATGTACAGTGCTGGTTTGTAAGATGTCACGCGTGTTTACTGCAGCCTCTCACGTGATATCTTGCAGTGATTCCTCATCTTTTCAATGTGCTTCGCTTGCCGAGGGGACAAAAAAAATTTCCACGTTTTTTCCAGATCGCGAGGGGCCTGTGCCCCTAACCCCCCAGATGTGGAAGGGTTGACCGTATAACATAACTAGGCCAACAGACACTGATGCTCTTCTGCGTTGCTGTATATTGCGCTTAGACTTGAGTTTCTTACTGCATTCTCTCCTAGGTAACATTTGTTTATGACGCAAGGTTTAAAGGAGCGGTTCCATCACTATTATCCCCACAAACACCTCGCACTTGATTCTGGTTACTCACTGGAAGATCAGCTTTGCACCATTTGTTCCTAGATGACTCCTCACACCTGTGTGCTTGTGCCTCACTTGTATGTCGCTTTGGGCAAAAGCTTCTGGCAAATAAATAAATCTAACTGATACGCAATACCTAGATTTTTATCATGACATTTCAAATGATTTAAGTTTCCTTCATTTGAACATAATCAGTATAACACTGATCACCATCAACACAATATAACAAGATCACCATCTCAAGTGGTTTAAAAGCCTGTTTTTACAGGGAGCTAAATTAAGCTTTTTAGATATAGGCTGATGTAGCCAAGCAACCAAGCAGATATTTGTTTAAATATAGAAGTTTTTTGCACCTCACAGACCGTGGAAGTTAAAAGTCAAGTTATAAGGGACCATGTGTGTTCAGTATATCGCATAGACAGCAGTTTCCCCTTCTGCTGCCTGGCACAGCAGACCACAAACCGAATTATGGGAATTAATCACTTAATTTCTGCACCTGAGGCTGTTACACTGAAAACTCCCCCCCCAGGCAAGTCTTTCATGTGGTACATGAAGGATCAATATACTGTACAGCATGGCCATGCAGGGCTAATTTCCCAAGTGATAAATATTTTCAAGATCATTGTTTTATTCACTTACTTACACTTGTTATGATTCTCAGTGCACCACCTCTCATGAATATCGTGTAAATTTAGACCTGTGATCTATGGATGACACTTTGCAGTCTAAGCCTTTGGTGACAGGAAGCTTGCCGTCGTGGACTGCGGCTACATGACAGGCAGTCCTGCTCACACTCCTCCATTAACATGATTACAGTGCGACTTTCTGTAGCTCTCCGTTATTTGTACCCATCTGTGAACTCTTGCAAGGTTAAGCGCAGTGAGTAAGTGGCTGTGCTCACGTTTTAGCGTGTTACGTAGGTACATTTTTTGCCAGAACCGCTTGTATAACTTTGTACCGGTTCCAGAACTTTAAAACCCAGTCCCTTCTCCTGGTCACGCTCAACACGCCAGCTAGGGAGGTCTAGATGTGAATTTGCTTGGACAACACAGAAACCTTTGATGTAAGGCATTTTTATAACTTTTTAATTATTATATGCAGACCTTATAAATATTTTCATTTCAGTTTATGTTATCGTGTGTGCTCTCTGAACAATGCAAGTTAATTGTTTATAATTTACAATTTATTCAGCAATTTTCACGGAACACTGTTTTATTCTGTGAAAGTTTAAAATGAGAACCTTTGTCTTTGACGTTGTTGTATTCTCATGTGCACACTTATGTCTATGGAGTTGCATTTTACAAATAGTTCATGCACAAGATGAGCGGCGTAGCGACCCACAATCCGGCGGCTTTTTGCGAAGGTTTAGATGGGAGGTCAACGGCAGGGTTCACAGTCTGCTGAGTCGTGCATCACAGTTACAGGCACCGAGGCGAAGGGAAGATAGTACGGGGTCGGTCCGGTCAAATCCCGTCGTCATCATCCAGAGCAGTAATGAAACCGAAGAAAATTCTCAAGTCGGTCGCGGAGATCCGCAGAGAGCAAGGGGGCAAGTGCGCGGCCGCCAATGGTTCCAAGCTGGAGCTGCGAGAAGATCCCAGCAGCGCAGACCCGATGCCGAGAGATCACCAGAGACCAGCGATTCCAGCAGAGAAAATACCCCCCAGTTTAGCAATTTAAGACCGGAGAATACAATGGTGGCGGACGACCCATACGACCCCTACAAATCCCTTGACGAAAACAACCCGTATTATAACACACATGACACCTATAACAGACAAAGACCTGATGGCAGACAGAGACCGGGGTACGGTACGCGACTTTTTCAAAACGGTAAGTTTCATTGGCGTTTCGGGATATGAACAATACGCCTGACTAACATGCAGTGTACTTTACTGCGGGATCTCCGTATGTGCGTGATCCACAGGTTTGCCAGACCTGGTTCCAGATCCTTATTACATCCAGACCACCACGTACATCCAGAGGGTCCCCATGTATAACCTGAGGTGCGCAGCAGAGGAGAACTGCTTGGCAAGGTGCGTCAGATGTTACATGCGATGATAAATAAGATCTATCTGCCCAGAATTCCATCATGGCAACGAAGCACCTAGGAAATAAGGTTATGAGGTGACGCCGTATGTTTACTTAAGCAGTTTTCGAAAGTCTTATTTTTCATTTGCTTTAGTATTTCTAGATATTTTAATAGATCTATAAAATTACAGTTTATGAATTAGATACATTTCTACGACAATTTTATGAAGTGCAAACGTGCAAAAGCAGTAAAATTTCAGCGGAGAGAGAGTGACACACGGTCTGTTTTCTGCGTGTAATTCTGAGGGATGCCAGCAGAAACCATTTGATTGCAGTTTGATTAGTTTTGTTACTGTCTTCTCTGTTTCTAGTTTTAAATTAACAGTCGCACGAATGTATTTTTATCATCAGTCCAGAGAGCCGGGTTTACGTGACGTGTTTTATATTCGCTACTAAATTTATTTTGTAGCTGTAATTAAAGCCAACATGGTACACAGACACAAAAAAAATTGCAAAAGAAAACAGAGGGGGTGATTTATTTATTTTCCTGGATTTAGTAAACTCATACTTCACATCTCCTTTCCTTAATGGTCCCCTAAGACAAATAGTAGGGGTTGGGGGATTGAAAGGGTTAAAGCACACAGGTTTTTACAGACTCGGGAGCTGCCTTTGTGAAAAGGTCCTATTTCCTTTTGTACAATCAGCCTCTAACTCTAAACTGCCACATGACTGTGGCCAGTGGAAATTTTTGCTGGCTCAGCTTCCTATACTGCTGGAGACACCAGGACAATAGAAAACTAACAATTAGGGCATAACAGAGAATAAACACAAGACACAAGTTACGCAACGGAAATAAGTAAATGCAAAAATACAGCAGGTTGTGCAAATTCATGTAGCGAAATGTCAGGCATATACATACATATCATACATAACATGCATCACATCAAGTATGCAGTTATAATGTGCAAACTGGTTGTCAGGGGTCTCTAGTGATGCAGATGTAAACGTTTAAATGGTGCAAATGTTGCATTGTTGTTTGATTACAAGCGGGGGAACTGTTAAGGAATCTGATAGCAGAGGGGAGGAAGCTGTTGTTTATGTGATGAGCAGTATGAGCTGTCTGCCTGAAACAGACCATGAACTGGGTTTGAGGGGGTCTCCATATCCCTTTGGACACCTTTATGGTGCATTGAATTTAGAGGCATTCAGGTAGAGGATGGTCAGCACCAGAGATCTTTGAGGCCTTAGTGACAATTTGCTGAAGTCTTTTCTTAGTGACAGAATCCATTCCACCCATCGAACTGCCGTGGGACATATCAGGGTGCTCTTCTGATGGAGGTATGGAATTGTACAAGGAAAACTGGGAAAGTAAATCTCGTCTGAAGACTGCACCCATGATGGTAGTGAAGAATACTGACCGCTCTGCAACCTAACAGTACAGCATACAGGTCCAGCGTGAGGGACTGGGACACGCGTGTGCTGTTGCGGTTTCCGCAGCGTGTGAAGAACCAGGGGACGGCAGACTTCCTGCCCAGCCGGCCACGCTACGCCTGGGAGTGGCACAGCTGTCACCGGTGAGTCCCGGTGCTTCAGGTCAAACCCTGATTCAGTGTAATGAAGTGAAAATGAAATTACGGTTTATTTTCTATTTGCATAAGTACAGTACAGGAATTCTTCAATTTCCTCTCTCCTTTGAGACATACATACTCATATATACACCACACACACACACACACAGAGTTGAGAGTGATGCTTGGGGTCCAAGTGCAAGATCAGTCATTTATCCAACACCCCTGGAGCATTTTGGAGGGGGGGGGGGGCGGGTAAGGGCTTTGCTCAAGGGGGCCATAGACATGTGACTATTCTGCTAAGGACAGGATTTGAACTGGTGGCCTTCTGATCACAGACAGTGAAGCCTGAGCCAGCAGACGGTTTACTGTCCTTCACGTTGATTTGTTTGTGAGCCGCTGGGTACAAAGTGATAAGACTCCCATGGGTCTTTGAGGCTAAGGGGCTCTTTTATTACCGGAGAGGTGGATACATTTCAATGCCAGGAGCTTGGAGGAGCTGTGCTGAGGATCAGGATCAGGATCAGGATCAGGATCAGGATCAGGCTGGAAGCGTTCTGACAAAGGCAGCCGGGATTCCCTGTGCGATGCCACATGACACATCAGTGTGGTCTATCCTGGCTCCTATGCACAGACACGTTACATGAATCTCCCTGGAATTTTTGTTACTTTTTGTATTCCAGAGCAACGTACAGAGGTCAGAGATGATAAATCTGAACAGAATATTTTAAACTCGTGGCTCAGAAAAAAGCCGCATTTTCTTGTACAGTACGTGGCTTGTTTATCACATTGTAGTTCTCCCCCAACACTCCACACCCAAGACCAGTACATACCTCCTCCTCCATGTCTGCTATCAAAACTCATGTGCCTTTAACACCCTGGCTATGAACTTCACTGACACACTCAGGGAGAGACCTGTAGATGCCCTGCCTCCAGCAGGTTGTACTGTGGAGCCATGAGAGGGCCCTAGACCCTCGTGGGAGACATTTGATTGGTTGGTCCCACCTCCTCTAGTTGCTTGGACCCACCTCCTGTACAATCTGATTTGTCTTCCCTCTGAGCCCATCATTTTTTGTTCTGCCCTCAGAACATTTTCGTGTAAGTAAAACTCCCACGAGCCCCAGACACCGAACTCACCCAAGCATTTATGCAAAGCTGTTTCTGACCTCACAGGCACTTTCACAGCATGGACCAATTCAGCCGCTACGACCTGCTGGAGAGGGGCTCCCAGAGGAAGGTAGCTGAAGGACACAAGGCCAGCTTCTGCCTGGAGGACACGTCGTGTGACCCAGGCTATTACAGACGCTTCGCCTGCACAGCACACACCCAGGTAGAGAGTTTAATAATAATAAGTTCCATTTATATAGCGCCTTTCACAATCCCAAGGTCGCTTTACACAAAAAAAAATAAAAAAATCAGTAATCGGTATAGGAGGAAGAGACAGTACAGAAATGTTCAAAGAAAAGAAATGTCTTTAATTCGGATTTGAAGGAAGAGAAAGGAGAACAGTCATGGAGTGATTGTGGGAGAGAGTTCCATAGTCTGGGGGCCATGGTTCTGAAGGACCTCAGATCCTCATGGTGGATAGTGTAGTGCGTGAAACAGCAAGGAGATTATTATTAGAGGATCTGAGAGCGAGAGGGTTAGTGGGGAGTCAAGAGTTCACTGAGGTAGCAAGGAGCAAGGTTATGCAGAGCTTTATAAGTGAGAAGCAATATTTTGAATTTGATACGAGACTGAACCGGTAACCAATGTTTATGACAAACTCAGTAACCAGCTGGCTACATAAAGACATAGAAATCAATGTGAAGTTATACTGAATATGAATCTGTAGTGAACGCAGATGACAAAGTGTCAGAGTCTGACGCATTGCATGCACGACGCTCCTAGTTCCTGTGGCCACCATGTGATTCCAGGTCAGCTGACATGTCCCTCACTGATTGGTTGTTGTGTCTTTAAAGGGCCTCAGCCCTGGATGTTACGACACCTACAACGCAGACATCGACTGTCAGTGGATCGACATCACAGACGTGAAGCCTGGGACCTACATCCTCAAGGCCAGTCACCTGTACAAACAGCCTGTTCTCGTCGTACTTGCCGAAAGTGTGGCCCTTTGTAAATAAGGACCAACACGCACCGTCAGACGAGCCGTCGTTACACAGGCACCTGCTTCCTTACACTGTCTTGACACAATATCAGTGGCCATTGGTCCCATTCACACTGTTGTGTGTCACATACTACATATACTCACACACTTACACCTTGAGTTATGTAGTGTGTAAAATTTGTAGAACATGGGCAGTTTTAAACCCTTCCATCTCTTCACAATATGAAACAATCAAAATGCCTTTGGATTTTACATATAAATGTCTTTTATTCTCATCAGGGTGGCATGGCAGTTAGCACTAATGCCTCAGGGTTCGAGTTTCTGCCATGGCTCCATGTGTGTGGAGTTTGCATGTACTCCTGTGCTGCCATGGGGTTTCCTCCTACAGTTCAAAAACATGATTAGGAGAATTGGAGTTACCAAATTGTTATTGGTACCTGTTATTGTGGGATTGGCTCTGAACCCCCATGACCCTACATAAGGCAAGTGGGTTGCTTCCTGAGCTTAAAAATATTTCCAAATCTTATAAATGACATCATGGCCCCTACCAGAGTAAGTGGTTACATGCTGATTGGCAGTCTGCCCTCATATCCGCTTCTGTTACAGATCACAGCCAATCCTGAGTTCCAAGTCCCGGAGTCGGACTTCTCCAACAACGTTGTGCGCTGCGAGGTCTACTACACGGGCAATTATGCCAGTACCTCAGGATGTCACGTCTCCCCGTGAGCCTTTTCTACCTTCCCATGTGTCCCTTTCTATCCCCCCACCTCCCGTCTCAGTATCTGCTCTGTGTCACATGACTTTACCCTCTGCCACCCTGACCTGCTGTGATCAACACATATACGGAGAACAGAGCTCAGTTCTCCGAAGTCCGTCATTCGACGTTCTTAATGAATCAGCCTTTCTCTCATATGTGATGTATTCGTGCTCAGCCGGGTGAATTGGAGCCCTAATTGAGCTAATTTATCTTTCGCTTTCAGAACAAATATGCTTAGTGCTTTACCATGTGTTTTGAGTCTGCTGAGCATGTGACCAGTCAGGAACAGTCCTCTGCTTTCTGATGTGTCCTCTTTATCTTTCAGGTACTAAAATGTGAACCACGCTCTGAAATCTGGTCTTGGAGGATGGAGGGCCAGACTCTGCTTGTCCCGCTAAACATGAGGATGCCAGCGTGAGGGGAGACGTCGATCATACCCCGGGGGAAACTTCCAGCCTCTGTATAGTCAAATTTCCTGTTTTCTGCTTTCTTTTATCCTTAGCTTGTAGACCGCTAGCAGCATATAGGTATCTGTAGACGTGTAACACAGTCACTGATTTTCCTCTGTCAGGTAAATTGTAAAAACATTATTTTGTGGTACATTGTCGCTTTAAAAGAGGTATGAGCAGAGTCATTGGCATATAGTGTAGATCGTCCTCATATTTAGGCTGTATAGTTAGAAATAAGGGTTAGCTGTAGAATATTGGAGCCATATCAACGCAATATGTATTATGTTAATATTATCATAGTGCTGATTGTGAATTTCACAGTGGAGGGACGTGATGGTATGTTAATGTGTCTTATGTCCACATTCTTACTGATCCTTTTTCTTCATTTGAATATATTACTGTGTATCTCAATCTGTTAGGAAAAACTGAGTAAACTTGAAACAATCTCTCAACTTGTGTTCCTTATATCTGTATGTCACCTACAGTAATTTGTTTTTATTCGCTTAGTGGTTATTTAGACCAAATAGCGGAGGCAGAAATCATAGTGTGGGTGGCCCAATCAGGTGTGCCAGTCCCATAACAATTCACTACACTACAGTATCAGTTTTTATATGACCTGTGGTGTTACAAAGGTCAAATGAACAAAGAGAAATGTGTACTCTATACAGGATGGCTGTCCAGCGCCAGGGTAAAATGGAGGCTGATGTGTATATTTCTGTCTAAATACTCTGTCAGGAGTGGTCACAGGTACTTGGGTACATTGGGGAGAAATCTGCATTATCTGTCCTGATTGCCAACTCTCCGTGTGGCACCTGTCACACCCTCCAGCATGGTCAGATTATATATCGCTTCTGCTTTTGGCTTTAGGTGACCAAGGTAACACATGAATCAGAGCTCAGCCATTACCAGCCAGAAAAATGGAAACTACCAGTAATGTGTCACGTGGATGCTTCACGCCTGTCACTGGTTCGAAATGTGTTCAGATAAATATGCAGTGATAATTATACATCTTTACAATCTCATGAATGCATTTTCTCTGTGTGCTTAATTACGAAAGGAGTCTTGGTCTGACTTAGTAGCAGTAGGTGGCCTAGTTTACTTTGTATCTTTTGTTCATTATTCTTTACTCCTTTTACTTGTATACGATGTGGCTCAGAATCCCACACATTTAACCATTAAATGCCACATAGATACCTTTCCAAATAAAACACTGAGTCATTCACTTCTTAGAATGAAACAAACTGATTTTGCATTTAGTTTGCATTCAGTTTCTAAAGTAGCAAATGTGTTTGTTTCCACTTGGATGTACCAGGTTTCAGCTATCAGGCCTCATTCAAGCTCATGATACTGTTTCATTTACATCGGTAGGGGGCACACTTGAGTTTTCTACCTCAAAATCAACAAGATATAAGGAGACCTCTAATATCAAGTTTCAAAGTTTTATTGTTATGTGTGCAGAGTACAATAAAATTTTTATTTACATGCATCCTTCAGACAAGTGCCTATAAATGTAAGACTATAAAAACGGTCATAAAAAACAGTAAACAAGTGATAAACAATCCGCTATAGACAAATGTGGACGGACAGGATACATTAAGTTACTGAGGACTCAGAATTCTGAGCATTTCAAGAGGCATTCTGGTGATTTTTCCTGCACCTGGAATACCCAGATCAGTAGTGACACTTTTTTGATTTTGATTTCCATAAATTAGACTCCCTGTCTACATACCATTTGAAATGTTACTGTACATCCATTCATCCATTTTCTGAAACCGCTTGTCCTGTTCAGGGTCTCTGGGTGTTACAGTGCAATTATGTTAGGCCTATTTGGTTTGAGAAACTTAAGGGGCTCTGTGTGCTTGCTCTGACTGTAGCCCTACTTAATTCCAAACTCACTGTAGGGGTAGGTTTAAAGGAAAAATTTTCAGACCTGGCTCTTAATGCGTTAATATTATGCTTAACTCGTAAAGTGGGAATGCTCTTGGCATTTACCAGCCCGGGCACCTCTTCTCATTCCTGCGCAGGAGAATCAAACATCATCCCACCGCCAAGTGCCTTAGCATTCCCTGTTGCGTGAAAATCACAGTTGTCGGGCTTGGCCGGTGAATTGAAGGATAATTCTGAGTATGTGAGATTACCAGCCCAAAAACACAAGTTATCTGTTAATAAGCATATACGCTTGGCTGAACATCCCTTTCCTAAAGCAATAGCTCACTTTGAACATGGAGAGCGGCACTTAAGTAGGATATATATAGACTGGTTACGCTGGATTAGTCTGAGCTCTGGGGATGTCATTTAGGGGGGGAAATCGCCTGTGTGCCTGCCTGACTTTGCGTTACGGTGTGCTGGCCGCCTTTGCGCTGGTTTCGCTTTCTCGGTGCGCAGATTAGAGCGGCCGACAGGGTGACTGGCGTAGGGAAGCTGACTGCGCCGCTCTCCCACCCTCTCCCGGACCGCGGTCCCGGCAGCTGGATTTCCGGTCGGACGGACTGGGACCGAGCCGTACTCTCCCAGCCCAGCGTCGGGGGCGCACATCGGCCGCCTTGGGACCCGGACTATCGGCGTTTCACCGCAGGTAAAGCCGGCCCGGAGTCGCTTTCGCTCTTTTGGCCGCCGGAGCGGCTTTATTCCGCTTTTTGTAAGGAATAAAACGGGCGCCGTTCTTGAGATAACGGGCAGCGGTGAGACAAAGGCACCGGGCAGGGGATCGGCCATCCCGCCGGGGCACGGCCGCTTTTCACTACCATCTCCATCATTATCCTTATTGCCGGGGCTGATGGGGATTTCGGCGTCCTTAATACCATTATTATTATCATTTATACTGTTATGAGTATTACTGGGAAACGGGGCTTTAAAAAAAGGATGGGGGTGGGGGGTATTCACAGGCCCGGCTGCGTCTCCGTCGGCTTTCCTTTTGATCTCTCGGCATGTTAAACTAACCTTAACCAGCTGCTTAACTAGTGCAGCAATATATCGCCCGGGTTCGGCTAGCGCTGTATCGGACATCTGGACCGCTAGTAAATGCAGTGACAGAAAAAGGGAATATATACAGTGGGCTATATTCTGCACTACAGATCTCCGCCTATTGTACAGTACACGTCTCTGTATATTACACACCACAAATCTACGCATATTATAAAGCGCAGTATTTCTGTATATCACACTTTATATATAACATGTGTAATACATACATGCTATATATTCGCAGTGCGTATCAGATATGCGAAAATGAATATACATGATGCTGTAAATTGCATCCTCTGTCCGCCCATACTGTCTATTTTGTGGTCTGTTATAGGATTACACGCTGATATAATTAATTAATTAATGTAATACTTGTCCAGTTACTACTGTCTGGTCGCGGTGTTGATTAATGAGGTTTCATATTCCATTTTGGAAACGCCATTTCTCACCTGAAAATGTTAACCAACTAGTGGATGTGTAGTTAACTAGCTAGTCATTGTAACAGGGATATTAATTTCATATAAATTAAACTGCAGTTTCCCCTTGAGTGGATATTCATGTAAACTCTGTGAACTGCAGTAAACCTCTTGTGGTGCTGTCCATTTAAACCAGATTAACTAGAGGACACCACCAGTCTGGATTTCCATTTAAGCCAGATTAAGTGCAAGGTACTTCTACACTAAAATGGAGCTAAAAAAGAAAGCATACATGTTTAATTTTTGTTGGACAGTGAAACCAGGACTTATTTTTAAAGGATGAAGTGAATTATGGGAAAAAAGACACACACACGTGACAATGGCTCCCTTGCTGGTATTTAGTTTGTATGGGACACAGCACACACTTGACACGTTACACAGAGTGTATATCAGAATTTCATGGTGTGTAATAAGAAGCATCTCGTCAGTACAATGAGGGATAGACATGACACCATGTCAGGACATATCTGCATGTGCGTATAGCATTATATAGGGTTAGGGCCCTAATCTGTCACTGCAGTGTTTCACTTGTGCTTTTTTTTTGTTTTGTGTGTGCCCAAAGCCTTTGCCCATAAATCCAACGTGATCTATGTCATTGCAGTGGGCACATTGAATTCATCCATCCACCCTTCTTCTGACCTCTTGTCCTGGGCAGGGTCACTGGGGGACTTGGAAGTTATTCCGGTATTCCAGGCATAATAGGGCACAAGACTCGGGACAGGATGCCAGTATATTACAGGACACCATGGGCAATTCAGAGATACCAGCTAGCCTACACTACACTGGGAGAACATGCAAACTCAAGATGGAGCAGAGTTGTGAGGCCACAGCGCCACCTACTGAGCCACCGTGGCCTAGTTTTAGGGATTTCTCTGCCTAACCTGAGGAGCATGTTGATAGCAGATGGACGCCTGTCAATTTTCTCAGTCTCATCCAACTGTAGCGTCAAACTTTTTATTCCCAGCTGAGTGGCAGTGCTGCCCATTGCAGGTGCTGAGGCATAAATATTGTTAAATTTCTTTTTGTTGAAATGCCCTGTTTTCAGCAGCCACACAATGCTGGCAGTGATACAGTTTCCACAGGAAATGCGTGGCTTCACCGCCCTGTTTCATTTTTTTATGGACGTGTGAAGCCAAATGAAGCAAATTTGGGTTTAAAAAAGCTTGTGTTTGTTTGTGATATTCCAGCTTTTCTTTTAGCTGGTCTCATAAAAACTTTGCAGACAATGTGCACACATCATATTTTTTTTGGAGAAATTCGAGATTGGGATATTAAAGCTGAACAAGGTGAAGCTTGTGTTAGTTTTAATTGATTTGTGATCCCGTTAGTCTGAAGCAGGCGGTCTGGTTCCTGCTAACTTATCTAGCAGTTAGCGGTTCTGTGGAAAAATATAATCCTCAAGGAGACCGGCTCTGGGTCCACTCGATCGCCTCTGTTCCAGTACCACCCGGCCAGGTTGGTGTAGCTTATGCTTGGCTGACGGCAGATAATGCTGTGCCAATTGATGGCATAGAATGTAATGATGTTCCCAGCTTAGAATTATCCTCATTGCCAAGAAAACATTCCTTCCACCAGCTACCAGTCTTATAGTGCTCAGGGCTCTGTATCTTATCAAAAGGTTCCCAAGAGAAGCCAGCTGTTGTACCCTTTGAGAAGGTACTTAATCTTGCTAGCTTGGGTGAAATCGCCATCTGTATACATGCCTAAGGTTTGAAACTGTGTAAATCACCATGAATAAAAGTCTTCCCTAAGCAGCTGAATAATGCTGCAATAAGAAGACGACGGAAAAGACTGCAGGCTTTTGGGGCGTGTCAACCACACCGCTGCGACTACAAAAAAAGGAAATGGCCTCATTTATTGGCTGTAATAAAAAGCTCAGAGTAGCGCATAGTTACAGGCCCAAGGCGTTTCCTTCATGTTTAGATTCTGCCTTATTAATGTTGTTTAAACTCAGCCTTTAAAACCATGTTTTAAGTGACTAATGCAGAATCCGCACATCTGTTTCCCTCAAAATTCAGGACTGTACAGAAAGGAAGAAGCCCTTCTGTCTTCAGCAGGTGGTTTTATCCAGAGTGTGATTTCACAGTGTGCGACGGTGACCCTTGTGTATCGAGCCTCGCTTTTGTTCAGGCAGGCCTTCTCAAAGATGCTCGGAAATGACTCTCTTCAAGCCGTGGGCTTGTGCTCACCCAGGACTGTGTCTCCTTAGGACCTTGCGGGCCATTATGCTGGCAGAGGATGGACGCCCCTGAATACCTGGATCTGGATGAGATCGACTTCACTGATGACCTAGCGGTGAGTGGAAGAGAACCTCGTGTTGAAAGGAGCACAAGCAGCAATTAGATAGAGGGAGATCGGGGTTTAACGTGAGGCCTCTGCATGAATAAATAACTGTATTCAGGTTCCATGAGGGATTTAATAAAGGCTTGAATTACAACTCCAGGCTTGAAATACAAGTCCAGGCATCTTGGATGGGGTTTGATCCTTTGGACCATGTAGTTAAATGGAAGTGATTGTGTATAAAATGCAGGAAGTGGGTTGTGAGGGCATCTGGTTTATTGACTTGCGTGAGTTTGTCAGGCTTGCAGTGTTGAGTTTGACCTGGGTGAAAAATCGTTTTTTCCCTTGCAGTGTTCTGTGACATTTCTGAAGAACATCTGTGAGTTTGTAAAGCTTGCCAGGTTCGGTTTGACCTAGACGGTAAATCACTTTTTTCCTTGCAGTATTCTGTGACGTCTCTGAAGAATATTCCTGAGCTTTGTCGTAGAGGCGAGTCTCAGAGCGAAGAAAGACAAGGCAAGGATATCAGTCGTACACCACAATTGTTTTTCACCATAATACCTTCCATGTAGAATATGCAAATAACCTGACTACTATACTTATGGATCACCGATTTTGCCTGATGTGATTTTTTTCAGTTCCGGCCATAAACTGGAGTCGTGGGATCAACTCACACGGTGGGAATGGAATCAAACCCACAGGCATTGCCGACGTGCACAGCAAGTTTCGACCCGTCAAACGAGTGTCCCCTCTCAAGCACCAGCCGGAAGTCCCCGACACAGAGACGGACTGCAAGGGTCAGAGTGAAGATGGCGGCAAGGAAGATAGCCCTGACAAGGCGTCCCAGGCGAACGTGTCCCGAGTGGATGAGCAAGGATTCAAGGGCAAGAACGTGGGAGGGGAGGAACTATTTGGGGAGCTGGAGCACTATGACCTGGACATGGATGAGATCCTGGACGTGCCTTACATCAAATCCAGCCAGCAAATGGGAACCCTTCCCAGGGTCACCCCGGAGAAGAGGACACCAGTGACCAGCGACCGAAATCAAGCATGTAGAGCCGCTACCCTACCACATTCAGAGACCTTAGGGTTCATGCCCCCATACTGCGTGCTGTCGCCTGTCAAGTGTCCAGAGATGCGCAAGTCCAAGTCCATGGAGCCTGAGCACCTCCGGCAGTCTGTAGCTCGGCACAACCACTCCCAGCTGAGCACCGCCACCTCCGAGCTGGAGAAGCTCTTGCCTAGCCGGACCTACCTGGAACCCAGAGCACACAAGCCAGCACCCGTGGTGCCTGGCAGTCAGCCTAAGATGTTCCCCCTGCCGGACTGCGGCGGTGCCTGGGGCAGCCCCAGGGCTCATGGAGAGTGCGACGAAGATGCCAAAAAGGCCCAGAACATCATCAGCATCATCCGAGGAGGACAGATCTCTCTTCTGGTCAGTTTAACCACCTGGTCACCAGTCCAGTGGTTCTAGCAAGTCTTTAATGTGGTTTTATTGGGTCCACTTTGGGTAGCTGTAGATTGTGAATAAGCGCAAGTATAAGGTCCCTGATTGTACCTGGTTGTTTTATTCCCTCATGTGCACCGCAGCCTCATCTGGCAGCTGATAACCTGGAGCTCATTCGGGACGAGGAGGGGAACAACCTGCTGCACATCTCCGCTTCACGGGGCCACGCGGAGTGCCTGCAACACCTGACCTCGCTCATGGGGGAGGACTGTCTGAGTGAGCGCAACAGTGAACAGCTCACACCAGCTGGCCTTGGCATCAAGGTAGCCAAATGGGTTGGGAGGAGTCAGCCAAGGAGGTGGGGCTTATGTGCGATGTAGCTAAAGAGAGTGTGGGCTCAGTTTTATGGGTGGAGCCTGAATGAAAAGTAGCCAGTCAGTTCAGTGCAAGGTGGCGCCAAAGGGTACAAGGCACAGTGGGGGGAGTCTGGGTGTCCTACCCAGTAGGCAGCTGTTGTGGCGCCTTGTAAATTTTGGCTAACGGCTAACTTCCTATAGAACGGACATCTGGAGTGTGTGCGCTGGATGGTGAGCGAAACGGAAGCCATCGCTGAGCTCAGCTGTAGCCGGGACCACCCCAGCCTGATCCACTATGCCGCACGTTACGGCCAGGTAAGCCTGTTGGTGTTGAGGTCGGGTCTCAGGCTCATGACTGCTGGTGATCATTTCACTAAAGCAGTGTTTCCCAACCCGTTCCCCAGGGACCCACAGCTGGTCCATGTTTTTGCTCCCTCCGAGCTCTCTGCCAGGCTGCAAAAATGTGGACTGTCGATGGGTCTCAGGGGCCAACAATGGGAAAGGCTGCACTAAAGGATCATTAGGTTTATGAAACGTTTAAACTGTAGAAAGTGACATATTGGTCCCGATCAAATAAACAAATACACAACAAAGGAGTTTTCTGGAGCAGTGCCCTGCAGTTGGCCATTAACTGCAGGGTGCACACAGGCCCTGAGACTGCGGCACTGAAAATACACTGAAGATACTGGCCTTGTGAAATGACTGGATGCTGCTGCATTCTCAGTATAAATAACGATGGTTTGCAGGTCTGTTTGTTTGTTTTTGTTTTACTCCCTGTGGGCCCTGCCTGCTTTTCCTGCATTCGTTTCATTTATGTGTGGTTTGTTTGTTTGGCAAACTCCACGAGGTGCTGGTTCTGAGTGTGACAGACAGCACTGTGTGAAACCAGAGCACAAGGCGTGGCTACTGACGCAGGTCATCACCCAGACAAACCCGTCGCTGCCAGTTATCCAACCTTGTGTCCCCCTCAGGAAAAGATTCTCCTGTGGCTGCTGCAGTTCATGCAGGAGCAGGCAATCTCCCTGGACGAGCTGGACCAGCAGGGAAACAGTGCAGTGCATGTGGCAGCCCAGTATGGACACCTGGGCTGCATCCAGGTATGGCCCCCTGCTCTGCCTTCAACCCGAGGTTCTTGCTGTGGCAGTGGGCATCCTCAGCTGCCAGCACAGTGCCAATGGAATATGATCATAGAGAGAGGAAAAACACAGTGAAGTTAAGAACCAGCAAAGAAACACTCGGGGAACAGATCCAACAGCGCCATCTTTTGGCAAGATCCTGCAACTTCAGTTCTGTCATTTCACGCGCAATTTAACAAGGGTCTCCAATTCACAGAGAGCCATATGTATGTGAAGTTACGTTCTCAGGCCATTCTACTTGGTTAAATGGTTGTTTCAGTTCAGTCTGGGTATTATATCAATGCCTTTTCAGAGCAAATTGCGAAATGGTTTTTCATTGGTGTTGGTCACAGACAGCTAGCACGCGTAGCAAATGAACAAGGATGATTATGCTAATTAATAAATTAAAGGGGTTCATTGGAGAAGAAGTCTCAATGATCTGAGATCCTACAGATTTGTTGCAGTAGTTTGATTTACTCTGACAGTAGTTGCTTATAATTGGCATTGATTTTAGTACACTTTAATTATATGTCCAGCCAAAACGTTTTGGTACTTGATCTGTCAGTCTAATAGGGATCAGCATCTAACATAGACTTCTAATATAATATGACCCTATAATTTCTTATAACAGGGCTTCAGTGAGTCTGTAAAATTTTGTAAAACGTCTAAAATCCAATAATGTGAATTTTAGGCCTTAAAATGTCTTAAATACGATTTTGACAGGTCTGAAAATTTGATCGGATTATTAAATCATCTGCGGTTTACTGCGGTCTGAAAAAAAAGTGTAAAAATTACAGAGCGGTTCATAAGTTTAAAATCGCACGCCAAGCGAGTACAGGTTGGTGAGTGGTGAGTACCCATGATAGGCCAAGATATTTTTAAACACATTTTTTTCTACTGTAGGTTATGAACAGGTTCATGATAAAAAATAAAAAAAAATACCTGATTTGAGTTTTTCATTTCTATATTGTCTCTTGGGAATTAGGCTAAAACGTCAGAATCCCTTTGTTTCGAGTGAGTGCTGCACTGTGAAGAACTATATTATAATGTACAGTGTATTTTATTGTTACTGTATTTAATGTTGGTAATGTCTTACTCAGCAGAATCAGAAGAATCAGAATTTGCTTCATTGTCATTCAAACCACTTGACATGATAAGAACGAAACACAGTTTCTCAGGACTCATTGTGTACAGCGTGGCTACTAAACAATAAATAGATAAAATATCAACACTAGAATAAGATGTCTGAACTAGGTACAAAATAGAATAAACCTCTGAAATAAAAAGTAATGTGTGTGATTTATCAATTAACAAAATCTATGTACATGAAAATCACGTTAAATATGGGATCAGCAGATGGTTCTCTGTTATCTTCGGTTACAGGTATCCATTGTCTTGGAGCGTATCACCCACGGATATGGGGGACCACTATGCATTTATAAAGTTGCATTAACTTAAGTCTCGCTTTTAAATGTTTTGGGGAAAATTTTGTATCGATCATGCTTTCACAAAACTACAGAATAGAACCAACATGGAGACAACAAGCACTACCTTCTAGCCATTAGCTACAAACTGTGTAGCCTGGTCAGAGTTTTACTGATGGACACCTAGCTGGTGTGTCACTATGTGATGTGTGGGCTAATGTGGCGTCTCCTCTTATCAATAAACAAACAAATAAATAAATAAATAAATAAATCTGTAAGTTCACGTTGAATGTGAATAAATTAATTTACTTTAAATAATTCTGGGACTCTGATTTTCCTTTGTATCCTTCATACCTTTTTGCCACTATGGATATGAAATAGGTCTTAAAAAGGTTTTAATTTTCTGAAAAAAGTCTTGAATATAACTTTTTGAAACCTGCAGAAACGCCGTATAATTTAATAATCCTCTTGGTGATTTTATGAGTGGTGTGTATGTCAAAGGCACAGGTGGGCTCACAGAAGATCTGGTGGTTATCTTCCAGACCCTCGTGGAGTATGGCTCAAATGTTACAGTGCAGAACCAGCAGGGAGAGCGGCCTTCCCAGACTGCCGAGCGGCAGGGTCACACCACCTGCTCACGGTACCTGGTGGTGGTGGAGACCTGCATGTCACTGGCTTCCCAGGTGGTCAAGCTGACCAAGCAGATCAATGAGTGAGTCGTCTGTTTGTCTCTGTTCTTCTGTGGTCATGCGTCACAGGCTGACATGTACCTATTACTCAGCTAGATAAGTAATGAAAATAAATGTTTTTCATTGTATAAACTGCATGGTGACTTAATGAGTAGCACTGTTGCTTTACTGTGGTCAGGGGTTTGAATCTTGCCTCCATTGTTTTGGTGTGGAAATCAGAGGTGGATAGTTCAGATCCAGAAAGTAAAAATCCCCACCAAGATTTTGTTTCAACCAACCAGTTGAGTATAAAGACTCACAGTCACAGAGTACTCAACTGGTTGGTTGAAGCAAAATCTCGGTCAGGATTTTTGCTTTCTGGACCTGTTATGTGGTTTTATCCAAAGACATGCATAGGGTAATTGGTGTCTCCAAATGGCCCATAATGTCTGACTGTATGTGTATGTGCCCTCCAATAAACTGGAATCCCATCCAGTGTGTTCTAATGCCTTATGTTGTATGCTTCTTAATTTCATATTTCTCTGAAAAATAAGACCATGAATGCATGCACTTGGTCTGCAAAGTGCTTACAAGATCAGCTAAAAAAGCTGGTAAATCAAATAAACAAAGGCTTTTATGAAACCCAAATCTGCTTCATCTGGCTTCACACGTCCATAACAAAATGAAACAGGGCGGTGAAGCCACGCATTTCCTGTGGAAACTGTATCACTGCCAGCATTGTGTGGCTGCTGAAAACAGGGCATTTCAACAAAAAGAAATTTAACAATATTTATGCTTCAGCACCTGCAATGGGCAGCACTGCCACTCAGCTGGGAATAAAATGTTTGATGCTGCAGTTAGACGACACTGAGAGAAATGACATCGTCCTCCTGCTATTGGCACGCTCGTCAGATTAGCCTGAGACATCGCTAAGACTAAGCCACGGTGGCTCAGTAGGTGGCGCTGTGGCCTCACACCTCTGCTCCATCTCGAGGTTGCACGTTCTCCCCACGTAGTGTAGGCGAGCTGGCGTCTCTGAATATCCCATGGTGCCCTGAGATGTACTGGCCTCCAAACCCCCTTGTAACCCTGACCAGGATAAATGGTTCTTAAACGATTAAATGAAATGCAGCCAAAGTAATCTTGTTAACACAGAACATTTCATTTGTATTTGCCATTTGCAACGAACTATGATGCGGCATTTATATTGAATTAATTGTGCTAATCAAGTAGGGAGGTTTGAAGCATAAGCTATAGACTGACAGCCCCCGCCCCCCACCGCCGCATACACACTGGCCCCTGTGGCCCAGTTTGCTGACCCTCGTGAGCCAGTCCTGAATGCCCCTCCCCTGACGGTGCCATCTGTGATTGCAGGCAAACTTCTGAAAGAGTGACCCTCCAGAACCAGGTCCAGCAGCTGCTGGACTCACCACATCGTGACGGCTCCCCAACCCGCTCCCCCAGGTCTGCTGTTCTGGACTCCGGCTCAGTGCCCCTGCTCCTTCTCCAATCAGAAGGGTCTCCCCTTTGCTTTGGTCTCCCGTTTCTGTTTGTACATGACATTGATGACATTATGTGACCAGCGGCTGGACCGCTCTCCCTCTTTCCCCAGCTGGTTCATCCCGTCCATGGTGCCGTGGCCGGAGATGACCCTGACAGCAGAAGCGGCAGCCAACGGGGGCCAGTGCATTGTACGGCAGCGCGACGTCGACTCGGATGTGGTGTTGCGGCAACTCCTGGGGAAGGAGATCGCCGAGAAGGTGTGCAGCCAGGGGAGGCTGACGCTGGAGTTCCGCGAGCCGCGCAGGCCAGGGGCGGGGCCGGGAGCAGGGGCGGGGCCAGGGGCGGGGCCGGCTGGCCGGCGGGAGCTCAAGCTGGCCAGGCTCAAGCAGCTGATGCAGCGCTCGCTCAGCGAGTCGGACTCGGATGCGTATCCGGCAGAGGAGCAGAAGCAGGGCGTAGCAGCCGGCCGTGCCGAGAGGCCCCGCCAGTTGGCCCTTGCCGAGAGCGATGAAGCCTCCTTCCTGGCCAAACGGAACGGCTCTGCGGCCGAGCGCAAGCTCTCCTTCGTCCACGGTGCCTCCAAGTCCATGGATGGGTACAACCCCTCGCCCACCTCGGATGGCAGCGACCACGACCGCGAGACCAAGCCAGAGACGCCAGGGGACGGCCACGAGCATGCCGACATGCAGAAGGCCACCACCAGCCCCAAGAGTGCGCTGAAGTCACCGTCCTCCCGGAGGAAGCCCTCCCAGACCCCCAAACTCAGGGTGACATTCGACGAGTCGCTCGCCCACAAGGGAGGACAGGACACAGAAACCAGGGGCACCCATGAGAAAGGAGGCGGGGCCAGGACCGCAGGCGGCTCCGAGGGGGGGGAGGTGTGGAAGCGGCCGTTCGGGACCTTCCGCTCCATCATGGAGTCCCTTGGTGGGAATCAAAACAGCAACAACAGCAATGGCCAGTGCACTGCCCAAGCGAAGCACCCCAGTTTGGGGTTGGCACAGGGCTCGCCGGGCCGGAAGGCAGCGGCGGATGCTAAAGCCAATCCCGCCAGCCTCTCCAAGTCCAAAAACAAGAGCAGTGCCGTGTAGACCGTGCCTTTCTACACTTTGTTTCACAGGCAAGGCATTCAGCTAGTGCAGTATATCTCAAACCAGGCCTCAGGCCCCCCGTGAGGGTCCACGTTTTAGCTCCCACCCAGCTCCCTGTTGATTGGTTCAGGTGTGCTGGGAGCTGGGAGGGAGCAAAAATGTGGACTGTTCTGGGGTCCCTGAGGACCGGGTTGGGAAACACTGTCCTAGTGAAAGGCCGAAAGGCGTGTTTTGTTTCTTTACAACGAACAACGGCAGGTCTTAGGGGATTTCCCCTGCTGCCTTAGCCCCCCCCCCCCAGAGCTGAAGGGCTGAGTCTGAGTGCACGGCGACCCCAGCTTCTCGTCTGGCTAACTGGAGACTCATGGACCAGGTGCTTGCGGCCCCCACCCTGCATTATCTACTGTTACTTTTTACCCAGATTTCAGTTATTTTGGGGGTCACTAATTTCCTAGTGAAATATATATTTTTGGACTGTTTTGTATTTTATATTTACCTGTGGCCTCAGTCTTCAGGCACTCGGCACCATCTCCTTTGTCCAAGGATGCACCAGGAGAGCATTTCCTTTGAATTCGCGGAGGTCTTCCAGTAGATACTTCAGTGAGATACCAGCAGGCCTGCCTTATGCCACTCTTAATGCCGGTTATAGTGACACTGTTGCTAAGTTATTTCCTTCACCTAGTCATCAGCAGAAAGTGATGTGGGACAAGCCTTGAGAGGGATGAATGGCGTGTGGATCACAACCAGGTGGCATGTTCACCGCTCCTCAGTTTTTTTTTGTGCATGCGTGTTCTCCAGAAACCTGACTGACAAAGTTAGGGGGTCGCGTACCCTGTGACAGTTTGTACATTTTTAAATGTTTTCTTTTCTAATCTTTTATAAAGGAACAACGCTAATCAATGTTTCAATTTATGAAGAATCCCAATAAACACGGTTGGGATACATAAACATTCCCGGTGTGGAGCCTCTGTCCACGATCGCTTTGTGAAAGTGTTCAGTCGGCCTGTCAGACTTCCTTAGGTACCTGTGCTAAAACCTGGTCTCAGTGTGGACCCTCCAAAGCAGAGGTGGGTAATTCAGGTCCAGAAAGCAAAAGTCCAGACCGAGTATAAAGAATCCCAGAGTACTCAACTGGTTGGTTGAAACAAAATCTGGGTCTGGACTTTCAGTGCGTTTTTCCGCCGCACCTGGTACCGTACTTTTGGTTCTTCGAGAAAATACCAAAAGTATGCTACTTTAAAGAGTTGTTTTTCCACTGGCGTAAAAACCGGTACCGGCACTGAATGACATCACAGTGCGAGGCGGGTATTTTGTGCTGAATTCGAGAAATGACTAGTATATTATTTGGCTTGGCGACGCGCAATACTAATATCAACATTGCATGTTATGCACATAGAATTCATACATTGCTAGTCAGCTATATTAAAATAAGGCTTTTTCTTGCTCTCTTTTCTATACAGACATTATAGGTTAATTTTCGCAAAAATATTTTTACTGTGTTACTCTGTCATAGGGAAAAAAAACTTAGCAAGCTTTGCAATTTTAATTATTCCTTTTTTAGATTCTTATATGATGAAAAATCAGTTCAAAGTTTTACCCCCGCTGCTTTTGCATGAGCGCTGCATGCGTTCTCCAAGACAATCATAATCATCTTCATCCTTGCTGTTTAAATCACTTGAAGATGGGCTTGTGAGAAATTTATGAACTCCTTTTTTGTTTTATAAATACTCCAATATTTATCACAACAAAATCACATCGCTAGGACAGCTCGCTATATCCCTTATGTATTAGTATATTCAACTAAATTCTTTTTAACTTCTTGTCATGCCATCCGGATATTTTTGTTGTATATGTTCTTATGACTAAATTGATATTTTTTTTTTACTTTGTTTATCAATATTTTCTCCGTTTCTGCTTTCAATGCACCATTTGTATTGTGTTTAGAGGCGGACTATTTGCATAACCAGTTGACAAGGAAAGTGGTTCAAGTCTGACCCCAAAGTACCAATGAAGAACCCCAGCTGGTTTGGCACTTTCGGTACTGGATCTTTTGGTACTGGTACTCAACCAGAAGTCAGTGGAAAAGCAAGAGTTCCTAAAATATAGTACCAAAAGTGTGGTTCTTGGTGCCGTGGAGAAGCGCCTTTCCTCTCTGGACTTGAACTACCCACCTCTCCACAAGAGGTTTCTGAAGGCCCAAACATGGTCAGAGCGGGTTTACCTGTTGGATGATGCAAGGAGGCCCCACGAGATCTTCAGTTGAATTTGGGATGCGGAGTTGGCTGTAAGATGTCTGTACTGTGAAGCTGCAAGCTTCCATTTTCTCACTGGGGGACCTTCTCTGGAGGCCCTACAGGCATGTCTGTGGATTCAGTGGGAACCATTAGCAAGTGTTAAAATAACTCGGGTTGTTCTTGAGCAGCTGTCAACAGATTTGAAAATGACATTTCTAAAGGAGCTGTTGACAAGGGAGGATACCTACAAAGAGTTAAGACTAAAAATAAAATGACTCCTATTTTAAGTTGTATTCTCCACTGATGAGTGTCTGCTGGGACCCAAAAGCAAAAGCAGGGTATGATGGTGCTAAGTTCATATAGCATAATGAATAAATAAACCAGGAAGGAGGATAATATCCTGAGGCACAATGCAGGAACATCCGTTTTATAGGGTTTTATGCATTTAAGTATGACATCACTGGGGTAGAAGCAGAATTATACCCCACTCACAATACCAGGGCAGTTTTGTTTTTTTTTCCATGCGACTGGAAAGGAAAGAAATTGTGCTTCGCATGCTGTCTGTGGAGTTTTCCAAAAGAAACCGTGACATCACTGGAAGATGTGTCTCTGGACTTGAGTAGGAAACGTCTAACTTTTTATAGCAGTAAATCTGATATTTATATTAAAATCCACTCTAAATTTAGTTTCTAGTCTTTAGTTTTCCATCGTCCACTGAGAGGTTAGAATATGGTCTTTATCCACTCCGCAGAAATAGGAAATATTGAAGTATGTCATACATGTAAAAATGAAATAAACCCTATTTAGTGTGGACTTGGCCGGCAGTTTCGGTGGAATCACTTTTGTCTAAGTAGGAAACCTATATGTGATTTTTACTGGGAATCTGTTACCCCAGACTTGGCCCTATTAGTTTGGAGATGTATTTTTTTCAGCGTATTGATGAGACTCTGCTTGTTTCATTTATCTGACAGAGACAGGGAGCAGCAGTGAATCTAAAATAATTCCAGGAAAGGCTGGTTAAATGGGATGCACCTCAAAAGTAACTGCATCAGACTTCATGGTCTGTGAAAATCATTGATTTTTCCGGAGATTTCTAGGGCTTTTGTCAGTGTCATCATACAGCTCCTTAGTTGACTGGGAGGCTCGTTCCGGAAATCTGAATCTCACCTTGGGTGGTCCACAGCTTGGGTTGCACTTGCATCTGGAAACATGTTGACATACAGATGAATTAAGAGGGGGGTCTTTATAGACCCCTCTGGGACCGATATCACACAGGTGAACTGTTGTGTAGTTACTGGTTAACTGGTTAACCAAGGAAGAGGATAAAAGTACTACAAGGATGGTGGGTGAAACAAAACAGAGTAACTGTGTAATGTTTTAATTTATTTGCCCCATTGCACAATCCTGATAGCCCATACAACACTGGCCTGATTTCATATTAAGGGGAATTTCCTGAAGTTAAAGCCCTAATATCTAACATTAAGATCCATAAAGAGCCACTCCTGCAGAACAGATGTTCTATATTCCATGTGTGTGATCTCTGTAAGGTGGTTCAAGGTCGTTTAATGCTGGGACCTTGGTCTCTGCCGTCGTCTTACTTTCATCTCAAGGCTTTTCATTCAAAAGGTGTAGATTGGTACCTTGAATAGTGATCCAATGTTCTAATTTAGTAAGAACCGTTAACATGGTCCTTGCTCCTTTTATGAATTGGACGTCCTGAATGGCCACTGGGACTGACTCCAGATATCTTTCAAGGGGGGAACTTTGCCTCGCTGACATTTTTCTTCCTACAGCAGCTGAACAGGCCCTTCTGAAGCCCTTCTGGTCATGTACCTCTCAGAACATGATGTGAACCATGATCGTGGTGCAGCTCAGAATGCTGTCCCCCCCCCACACACACACGTCATTTAGACCTGTGTTAACCCTTTTAAGGTACTTTGAAAAGCCACCCAGATGTTGCCTAGGAAAGGATGTCCCTCAAAACGAGAAGGACACTTGTGACAGAAGCCACTAAGAGGCCAACAATCACTCTGTAGCTGCTGACAGCAGAGTGAAGGTGCACCAGTCAACCCCACTATGAGCTCCGCATAATACTGACCTGTAGCGGAGAAGCCATTTCTTAAAAGAGATGTTTGGAGCATGGCTCAGTGGGTTAGGTCTCCATACCTGTGATCAGAATGGCGACGCTTCAAATCTTGCCCTCTGCAGTATAGTCATACTTCCACTGGGCCCTTGAGCCTGTGATTTTGTGATCACTTTTCATTCAAAATCTAACGGTCCCCTCGCATCAAAAACAGCAGACCTACAGCAAGGTGCAGTGGGGATAGCATCACATCGTGGGATTGCATTCCATCAGCAGAGATTGGGCACCTGGATAAAATAAAAGGAAGCTTGGTTATTCGAAATAGCAGGGAAATACTGAAGAGCGCCGGCTTCAGTCTGCCAAAAATGGAAATATGGGAGAAAGTTCATCTTTCAGCAGGACAATGATCCCAAACACATGGCCAGGGTAACACTGGAGTGGAGGAAAGGGGTGAGGGTCCTGTGGCGGCCTGGCCAGAGCCCTGATCTCCATCCAGGTGAAACTCTGCAGCACCATTTGATAATCGTGCTGCACGAGCATCACCTGCAATGTTTCTACCTGGGAGAATAAGCCAGAATACTGACCAGGGTACTGAACCAGTACATACTGACCCAGAGGCTGACCTTGTGCTGCAAAAAGTCACTCTACAAAATACCAAAATATGACTGATACATATGTAAATGACATATTTTATTTTCCCTTATATTTTCTAACATAAATCAGTCTCATTAAAATAATTACATTTTGATATTTTTTCATTGCATTCAAATAATATATCAGCGAGCTAAGCTTAGGATTCAAGGAATTATCCTCTGTTGTCTGTCCTATCTATCTATCTATCTATCTATCTATCTATCTATCTATCTATCTATCTATCTCTATCTATCTATCTATCTATCTATCTATCTATCTATCTATCTATCTATATCTATCTATCTATCTATCACCATTTATATGAATAGACTAAATATGCTAGAGTGGCAAATGTTTACATTAAGTAAGACACCACTTGACTGAACAAATAATCTTCATTTTAAGGATCCCACTGATTTTTGATTAATTTAGCCTATCACCTTCTAAACATTTTACACCTTCACACCAAACATCGTTGTTTAACACTTACAAAACTGATCACCGTAAAAACGGGGTTCACGAGCAAGCATGACAACTCTTTAGAAAGAAATCCAGGCGAATTAAATATCTTGAATGATTTATTCCCCCATACATTTTGCGTTGACGCCTCCTAAATTAATTTCACAAGCAGCCTTGGACCCCGTAAGCATGAAAGAGCGCTACTTGTTGGAGCTGTTACTTTAACGTTAAGTCAAAGCCATAAATTAGGGGCCATTTAGCGGGCGGGCTGGGCGGCCGCCAGGGGAGAAGGAAGGGGCCGCTTTAATTGGCGCTCGGAGCAGCTTCAGAGGGGAGACGCTTAAGCGGCGGAGGCCGGCATGCAGCATGAAAATGGAGGAGACGAGCTCTCTATCTGACAAGGGGAGTCATGTATGGATTTTTGTGTCCATTGTTTTGGCTTATTTGTGTGCGCTTTACTCAGTCAATCAAATATAATTGACACCACTGGGCTCTGCTGTTTGGCGGATGACAGCGGTTAATGCCAGAGAAAGGCTCTACGAGGAAACTCCTCCCGGTGAAGGATGAGAAAAGGTTTCTGCCAAGCGCGTGACAAATATTTACCCCTTCAACCGTATTAATTTATGTAATGGGCAAGATGATGGATACTGATGAATACAACCTTTGGAAAAAAAAGCGGACGACACTTCGATGCATCAGGTTTTTAAACGGCAGTGCATGCCTTAAGCGGCAGCCTGCGGCGTGTCTGCTGGGATCCCCCCATACACATTAAAATCACCCCTGTAGCTTGTGTATTTTTACATACATGTTCATAATCTTTACTACCTGTAAACATAAACTGTAGCTGAGCTGATACTAAAACCCATGTTTAAAAAAAACATCGGCGCCATGCGTATATGCCGTTGCTAACACAGTGATGTACGTTTCTGCCTTCATTTTAGTGAGATTTTATTTTAGTGCTTATTTTTAAGGGAAGTTTTTAGTAAATTAATATTTCCTTTTTTGGGTTTGTACTGTCAGGGTGACAGTGCGCTATCTGCCAGCAGAGGGAGCCATTGATGTTCTGGAATTATACCTTCTCAAAGAGCACCTTGGGTTAATAGGCGCCCGTACATTTACTGGGTGAATTACTGACAAAGAACAGAAAATACTGCACGACAGACACAAAAAGTACAACTTTATTACAGGCTAAATACCAGCATGTCTGAAGTAGCCCCATTTAAAAGTTTCAATCAGAGTACATTGATTCCTTTACAGAATGATGTGTTTTTGCAGTGATTTTCAGCGTTCTGTTTTAAAGGGTTGGCATGACTTTAACATGTAACTTTTAACCATTAGAAATGAAGGGTGCGGCGGGATGAACACCCCTCCCTCTTATCCATTTTCAATCCAGATCACCCAAATTCAATAACTGGTTGCTAAAAATAGTGGATGGAAAATGGATAAACCAGTTGTGGGCCAGGGCGCCAGGGTACGGTGTTCACTCAGTCAGGCATAGAGGAGAGAATCTGACAATGATAAGTAAAATGGTGAATCATGATAAAATCCAGGGTGCTGAAGGGGTGCTGACACACAAAAGACAATATGGCTTTTAGAAAGGGAGGGGGGACTCAATGCATTTAAGTGTACCCTCAGACAATATGTCCGTAAGAACATGAGCCATGCTTCCATTAAGCACTGCTGTTCTTGCCACGCATTTGGCCCATCGTAATGAGCGGAGTTTCTGTGTGCGCCTGTTAAAATTGATCCTCAGGCCTCTGCCATCCTTCTCTTTTTTTACGTGGGCTCTGAGATACGTAGCTGAGATCTTCAGGCGCGCAATACAGCAATATTAAAAGCTCGGCTCAGCTGCGGGTCAAAGAATCAGGTAGACATACCGTAAGCATTACTCCCGAGCTGGAAAAAAAAATCATGGAAGACAATAATGATTCAGGTAATTTCACACTTTACACCAACAGTGAGAGAAACATTAAAGATTCACACACAAAACAGTCCCATGTGCAGGAAATGATAATGATACAATGAAACCTCAGCAGGGCGCATCCATAGTTTTCATAAATATGCCTTTCAAGCTGCTTTTTATATTTAAAAACCATCACGTTTTTTGGAATG